GTTTCTGAAAAACAGTAAAAGATGTTCGTGCATTTTTTAATATTTGTAGGCTTTTATAGGTTTATACCACATTTTGCACTGCTGGCAAAACCTTTAACTGAATTAACTAAGAAAGAAATAAAATTTCAGAGAAAAGATAAACGACAGGAAGCATTTGAGAAACTGAGGGAAGCTTTATTAAAAGCACCAGTTTTAAGTTATGCAGATTTCAGTAAAGAATTTATCTTAAGCACAGATGCTTCAGGTTTTGCTGTAGGTGCATTATTATCACAATTAGATGAAAATAGAAAAGAACACCCTATAGCTTATCAGAGTAGACAGTTAGAAAAAGCAGAAGTAAATTATTCAGTTACAGAACAAGAATGTTTAGCTGTAGTGCATGGGATGAAAACTCTCCATTGTTATCTGTATGGTAGAAAGTTCACTATTACTACAGATCATGCACCATTAAGATGGTTAATGACATTAAAAGACCCCTCTAGATTAGCTAGATTGTCATTATTACTACAGGACTATGCCCTTGAAAAACACACAGACCAGGTAGAAAGCATTCTGATGTTGATTCTCTGAGTAGAATTAGAGTAGGAAATACAGAGACTGAAGAAAAGCAGACAGTTAATAAAATAAAAGAAGTACAAACTGAACATAAAAACGAATTAGAAGTAATTTGGGATTTAGATCATGTAATTAGCGAGCAAAAGAAAGATCTGGTATTAAATGCCTTATGAAAGAAAGTATCACAAGGAGAGGATACAGAATACATATTAGATCCAAATATCTTATTCAAAAAGATTAAGGATAACAGGTCTTTACAAATAGTTGTACCACATGACTTGAAAACTAAAGTTATGAAAACATATCACCACACCCCATTTGCAGCACACCTAGCTTTTGCTAAAACATACAGTAGAATAAGTAGGAGATTCTTTTGACTACACATGAGGAAAGATATTAAAGATTACTATGAGTCATGCATAGAATGTCAAAAACGAAAAATGAGTCCACACTTTAAAAATGCTCCCATACAAAGAAGGCTGAGTCTAACGACACCCTTTCAGATAGTAGCTATGGGCATATTAGGTCCATTTCCTACATTCTACGCAGGAAACAAATATGTGTTAGTAGTCACAGGTTACTTAACTAGATTTCCTAAAGCTATATGTTTACCTGATCAGAAAGCAGAAACAATAGCCAAGGCTTTTGTGAATAACATAGTAGCTAGACATGGTATACTACAGTGTTTACTGATAGACAGGGGTAGTAACTTTATTTCTAAGTTAATGAAAGAAGTTTGTGAGCTATTAGGTGTGAAGAAAATTGAGACAACAGCTTATTACCCAGCTGCTAATGGTTTAGTAGAAAGATTCAATAGAACCTTGTTAGAAATGATCTCTCAATACTGTGAGAAAGATCAGAAAACTTGGGATGAGCAGATTCCCTTGTTATTATTAGCATATAAAAGTGCTAAGAACAAGTCTACTCAGAAAAGTCCATTCTTTCTATTGCATGGTAGAGATGTTATATTACCTATGCAGGAGATATTATCTCCTAGAAAAGTTAATTATGCAGTAGATTATGACTATAAGGCAGAACTACTACAGAGAATGCAGTTGGCATTTGAGTTAGCTAACAAACATTTAACTAAAGCTGCTGAAAGTAGAGAGAAACAAGTATATAAGAAGGCACAGGCTAATGATACAAAGTTAGGGGACAAAGTGCTGTTATACACCACAATTGTTAAAAAAGGAAACACTAAAAAGTTAGCAAAGTTATGGAAAGGTACATTTTGAGTCCTTAAGCAAACAAGTCCAGTCAATTTCAAGGTTTAATAAATGCAAGTGGAAGTGTTTTGAAATTCTTGTTCGGAACCGGAAACACCGATGATTTACAGGAATTATATGAGAAGGTGGAATGACAGAAACAGATATCTAAGGAAATGATTCATCTGATAGGTGAGCAGGCAACTATAATAAACTCATTAAACCAGACAACTGAATTGCGTGACTAATAGATTAGAAGAGTATCTAGAGTTTTGGTGAACATTACAAATGCATTAATACACACTAGAATCAGACAAACTGAGTTACATACAGCAGGAATTGAAATGTTAATTTTTAACACTAGGATTCAGAATAATTGACAACAGTTATCTTTTACTGTAGGAAGTAGCAGGACAGAGTTAGCTAAGCTAGTACAAGCATTGTATGTAGCCACGGGTAGGAAGTTGAGTTTATACTTCCTATCTCCAAGTTAGAGAAAGTATTAGTCGAAACTGAAAGGAAATTATCTCCACATTTACAGTTTGTAATCCTACTCATAGTGACCTTATTTACATGTATTATACATGGGCTGGTGTAAAGACAGCCACATTCAGGGATACTTTAAGGATGTTTATAGAGATACCCTTACAGGCAACAGATAGAATGTTTAAACTTTATAGAATCATACCTTTACCATTAAGTTTAAACCATTCATTAGCTTTAGCCATAGAAAATGAAAGACCGTATATTGCTGTTTCAAGTGATCAGCATACTTACTTAGAAATGACAGAGGAAGATATGTTAAGATGTATAGAGGGACCTATCAGAGTATGTGATCCTAACTCAGAAATATATTTGGTGCCTATTGTAACTATGTTATATTTGCAGGAATTAAAAACAAAATAACTAAATTATGTGAGAAAAGAATAATCATACCTAAACCATTCTATTTTTATAAGACTAGAATCCCAGGAACTTGGTTGTTTAATGTTAAAGATGAGCTTACTTTATCAGCAGTATGTTCAAAATCAAATGCATTAATTTGATTATCATACTAGATTGTTTGAATTAAAAGATAGTGGTTACCTGAGATTACCAAGATATTGTTCAGCTCATGGTCAAGGTGTTGTGAGAAAAGGTAAAAAAGTATAGTAAGAAGGATTGGCCAAAGACAGGATTATTGGGCACTGGAGGGCAAAACCAATGCTAGAGTCCACCCCATCCCCCAAACAAACAAACAACAAAAAAAAAAGAATCCAAATTTGGCTATCAAGAAAGAAACTTCAGTATGACTGAAATCCTGGATATATGAATCAAATAGACAAGGAGTGTGAATCATGAGGTTTAGGAACATAGTTGGTCAAGGAAGAAAGGAATTAGCTTGTACGCCAAAGTCAGGAAAAGTTAATACAAAAAGTTGTTAGGTTTAAGATTAATGAATAGGAAATGAGAAGGATTGTATGACACAGGAGAAAGAGAAAGAATTGTACATACCTGTGAAATTAAGTCCTGATAATGCAAGAAAGTTTGAAGGTTCTCTTTAACAAGAAAAGAAGCTCCCAAAGCATAACCAGGAGGAAACAAGCAATCAAATTTGTCCCCCTCATTCTCTGCTCAAAGCAAGAGGAAAGAATGCATGAAGAAGGAACTGGAGCTGAAGGTCCTGGCTGCATAAAGAAACCCACTACCCTATGCACAATGGTTGTTATGTCATCCTCAATCAATGTGTCTCCATAAGTCATAGTTGATATATAACCTGTGTGAGGAAATTGTTTACTCATCCAAGTAGTAGAGGTTACATGAACTTCTGAATTCATGGTTTGTAGAGAAAAAGAAGGAAATTAAATTCCTCAAATGTTGCAAATCTTGAGAAATTGAAAAAGAAACATGTCTGGTATATTCAGTGCCAAGGAAAAGAATGAATATTCATGAGTGTAAATGCATAGAGAGAGTTAGTGCACAAGGATGTGCATTGCCTTCCTATTGGTGGTAGACTTTTGCTACATGATGACAATTTACAAGACTTCTTGTCAGATAAAGTGGGAATTCACTAAAGGCTAGTGATATGGGGAAGATAGCTTAACTGTGTGAAGAGGTGTGATATCCTTTTGTAAAATTATTTTAAACACTGTAATCAATAAAAATGTAATGCAAGTAACTATAGTGAAAAATGGAATATGTTATCATATACTTTGTTAGAGTAATTTGCTATTTAGATAAACACAATACAAGTATTCGTATTTGCAACAGAGCACATCCCACATTGCAAATTAATGTATATTATTAAATTTAATAAAATCCATAATGACTACCTATCCAGAGAATTAAACTAATGTTTTGTCTCTGATTTATAAGAAAAGCATCTACTTTGTTAAATTGTGTACACAACACACATAACTATATAACTACTGAGTATGAGAAAGTAACAATGCCTACTTAACAGACAGCCTTATGGTTCACCAAGATTTAAAACTCTGAAAACAACAAATCTTACCAGTGAAATAAAACTTTTTCTATCAATCAATGCATATAAGTAACCAGCTTAAACCACTGTACTAGATAAAGCATTTTAGGAAATTGACAAAACAAAAAAATACTAAAGAATTAATTAAAGACAAATCTTCATCTTTACAAAAGCTCCTTAATTATTTAAATATACATCAATTTACATACTGAGTATCAATCCCATAACAGAAATCAATAATATACTTTCTACTTGGATCTTATTACAAGCTATCAAAAGCCTTTTAAAACCATCTAGACAATGTACATTTACTAATAATAAGTCAAACAGGATTTTAGGTTGTAGACAGAGAATTTTTGAGTACAAGTCAATGGACACCATCAATTCACTCTAGTTAAACCTACTTTGAATACTGTGCTTAGTTCTAATCACCTCATTTTACAAAACATTATGTTGTTGAAGAGAGCTCTGAGAAGAACTACCAGATAACAGGTTTCAAGGGGTTATGATACAGAATGACTTTAAAGATCTTAAAATATTTTTCACTGAAAGAGAGGTTTCTAGGGAACATGACTGAGGATTTTATGAGAATGAGGTTTGAAATTCATAAACACCAGCGATGTTTTAAAAACATTTGATGAGCATTTTAGAGATCAGGATGGGATATGCCAAAAAGGGGATTTTTTATTTATATAATTTGAAGGAGGGTGGTGGTAGAAAATTGGATAATCTAGATGGGTCAAGTAGCTCCATATTATCCCTTGGATACTGAATACCTTTTCTGCCTTTTTATCTCCTCTTTCCAAGGCTAAAAGAGCTTCTCGAAGCACTTTCACCAGTTCTACTGGACTTTTTTGTGACTTCCCAAACAATGGCATGTTGCTGTTTGAAACTTTAATCTAAAAGAGAGAAAAAATAAGCATAATCAATACAAAAAACCAGCTGATATGCTATATAATATACCAACACTTATTAAAAACAAATACTAAGTATTCAGGAAAAAATAAATAAATGTTAGCAATTTTAGTCTCTATTTACAAATTACAAAATAACTAGTCTTACTACCAAGACAAAATAAAAAAACCTTTATGAATGTAACTGTACACAACTTTCACTTGTATTGAATGTCATGATTTTCCAATGAACATCGTATCAAAAACAAAAAAGTAATAATAAACTAGTTTATATAGCAAAAACTCATAAAACTTTACAATTCTATATAAAAATAAAACCACAGAAATTACAATATCTAAAAAATTAGGTAGTATGCTATACATAGCATGATAGTCATTAAAGCACATTAATATTCTTGTTGTTTTACACACATAACTTATTGATCCATTTCGGCTGTTCTATCCTCTAAATTAAATTAATTTTTAAAAAATTCTTAAAGCCAGCTCTTATCATTCATATAATTATCAAGCTTTTTCTTAAACTCACTTAAATTTATTGTCTCTACAACATCTGAAGACAACCCATTCCAAAGGCCAACCACCCTGTTAGAAAAATGAAACTGTCTTAGTTGAAGATGACTTCTACTTTGCCAACATTTATATTTGTGTTCTCTAGTCCTACTATTCTCACTATTAAGTATGAAAAAAGATGATGCATCAATCAGATCCCCACTAACTCTTCTTTTATCAAGAGAAAACAATTTGAGAAATTTCAACCTTTCCTCGTATGACAAGCCCTCCATTCTAGGCACCATTCTAGTAACCCTCCTCTGAACCATTTCTAACAATTCAATGTCATTCCTAAGGTAAGGAGCCCAAGACTGAACACAATATTCCAAATGTGGGCTAACCAGTGATGTGTACAATGAAATTATAACCTCTTTAGGCTTGTATACAATATTTCTGTAGATACAACCTAAAATCCTATTTGCCTTACCACTAGCAACAGCAAACTGCTTGGATAACTTTAGAGAGTGATCGACAATTACACCAAGATCCTTTCCTTCATAACACTGTTAATGTTATTCCCATCCAAATTATACTTATAATTCAAATTATGATAACCCACATGTATTAATTTGCATTTATTATAATTAAAACCCATTTGAAATTGGATTATTGTTACAAGTGTAGTACCTCAGGGCTCAGTCTTAGGATCTTTGCTCTTTTTGATTTACATCAATGACACAGATTAAGGAATGGTAAACATATTACTTACATTTGCAGATGATATTAAGGATTTGGGTTTTACAAGCTGCTGATTTACTAAAGGATTGAGATCATTTAGTGAGTTGGGCAAATAAATGGGACTGAACTCCACTTGTAACAACACTCTGTTTTCTTCCATACAGAAACTCTTTTATCCAATTTGCTAACTTATCTCATAGATGCGTTACAGGTACTTCCTGGATCTTCTGATACTAAGATATATCTTACCGACCGTGGATGGGATTTGTAATGTACGGTTACATACATTTATACATAGTTTACTTCAATTGTATTCATTATTAAATATTATATATCGAGTTAGATTTTATTTTTTGTTTGTTACTGAATCTATAGAAACTATATCATAATTATATAACACAAGTTTTACACATTTTTAGAGAAACATTTATTTATTCCTCTGATTCTTTCATGTCATACCTGTTTCATCTAAAAGACTGACGCTAAAGTCGATGTGAACCATTTTTTCTTTCTCAGTTACTCATGACGAGGTTTATCGAATTATTTTGATGCTCATAGAAAATGTAAGAAATAAATCTGTTGTAAAGAATGAACATTATATTGCAATCAACATAATCGTTTCTAATAACATTTCCACAATGTTTCATTAATCTGAGTGTAATATTATGCTTCATATTATATTTTGACTTCCTTTTAGAACTACAGACTCATCTAGAAGTTACATTAAACATAATCTATTTGGGAACTTCAATATTGGAAGCAAAGTCAAGAGGTCTTAATTTCATCTCTGTTGTTTTCAGTGAGTAATTATGACCCTTCCAGTGAAACCATGTGACACCCATAGCGTGCTCTGTTGTATTCCCACGAAGATATAGTCCGTTCAGATTAGCATGATGACATTGGTTATACCACCAGCCTCCTTTGTATCTCTGAGAACAATGTGATTTGTGGTTGTCATTGTCCATGTCTTTTGTAGAAAATGGTGCCCCTTTGTGGTGTGCCAAGGAGTCTCCTGCAAATATATATATATGAGTGTGTTAAATTTAAACTTTTTTGTTAGTTTTTCATTATGTCAATATAGCATATATGCCTTGTTAGGAACTTTAAAACTAAATTTAAAGAACAAAAATGACGTCCGATTGGAATGCAACAAGGATTCTCCTGTGAAAAAGAATCAATATTTTTTAAACCTGCTTCTTCCCTATGTGAAAATAACATATATGTAGCTCAGTTACACGTTGTAAAAAATATTTAAAGTATAGAAATACATTATTTGAAGTTAGATAACAAAATATCTTGAATTTTATGTTGTTATTTTATTGAAATAAGAGCTGAAAGGTTTGTAAAAATTATCTATTTTAGCGTGGGGGCCTGTTCTTACTCTAACCTAAACGTGAGAAGATGACAATAAATTAAGAAAAAAAAACTGACGAGAAAACTGTAAGATGGGTTAATGTGGAATATAAACTGCATATGGCTTAGTTCACGCTAAAGTAAACTTTAAGCCGACACCAGGTGGAAGTCAACCTTGCAATAGCAAGCGATGTCAAACCTGTAAGTTCATGCAGGAAACGGACAAATTTTCCGATAAAGACAACCAAAAGCAGTTCAAAATCACTAAACTAATAACCTGCTCTACAAAAATTTTTATTTACTTAATCTAATGTCGAAAATACAATTTCCAATATGTAGGTCAAACCAAAACAACTATAAAACATTTTAATAACCACAAATCATCAATCGAAACAAACAAAGAACTTCCGGTCGCAAAACACTTTTAACCTAACTGGACACTCTCATGAAGACATTAAACCGACGGGTATAGAGACAAATTTTACATTTAACAGAAACAGGGAAATTAAAGAAGCTTACTGGATAGCACTGTTAAATACTGTAACGCCAAATGTCATGATTCTCGATCCCGGGATTGTTGGCCTTTGCAAGTCTCTGAAAATATTTTCAAAACTAAATTCATGATTAAACTTACTTCACATTATTAGTATTATTCTTCCTTAAATTTCTCTCTATATATTGGTTTGATTTCCTATCTGTTGAGCTACATTATCATTTTCTCTATTTCTCACCGCCTTTTGGTGTTATTCAATTTTATTTATATTGTTTATTTTATTTTTGATTTTATCTTTATAGAACTTAGTTAACAATTTTTATAACTATTATCCCACATAAGTCTTTTATGAACTTTACACACCCTTTTGGCACAAAACTAAACCTGACACAAACAACTCTAGGTTATGATTGGCTAGTTCTTAAGGCCAACTCATATTGAACATCCGTTTACGTGACGTCGACATCTATGTCTATATATTTCATCACACTCATTAAACATAACCCTTTATTCTCCCGAAGAAGAATAGTCAACTATTCGAAAGCGCTCGAGTTTTGGGTCTCGTTTTGAAAATATTCAAATATACATATTTGATGCAGTTTTCCACATGCACATTAACCTATTTTACAGTTTTCCATATGAAGTTTATATTCCACATTTACCCATCTTACAATTTGCCATATGCAGTCTATATTTCAGATTAACCCTCTCAGAGTTTGCAATATGCAGTCTATATTCCAAACCAACACATTTTATAGTTTGCAATATGCAGTCTATATTCCAAATCAACACATCTTATAGTTTGCAATATGCAGTCTATATTCCAAATCAACACATCTTATAGTTTGCCATTTACAGTCTATATTCCACATTAACCTATTCTACAGTTTTTCATATGAAGTCTAAGTTCCACATTAACCCATCTTACAGTTTTGCGGTCAGTGTAAATATCCCAGGTAGACTGCTATTATTCAACATCTTTATATGCTTTGTTTATAGTGTAAAAGTCTCGGTAGAACGCATGCTATAGTGTAAAAGTCTCGGTAGACTACGGATACTGCGGTAGACCACACGCTACAGTAGCACCGTGCCATCTATCACATAATTTATTAAAGAAATTGAATGGGATCACAATGACCCCCACAGTACTAACTGAGGGTTAAAGAAATTAAATTAACATTATAGTAGCAATGATTATTAAACTGAAAATGTGCAAAATAGTAGTTCATGACTGTTTGTGTGTCATGTAACTACTAATAAATTGCTGGTAATGTTGACTTCTAAGTGGTAACAAACAAATTGTCTTGATCCCAAGGTTTGTACAAAGGTAAAATATTTCATCCAGCCCCTTGGAGAACCCAGGTATTTCCCAAAAATCCATTTTCTTAAACTGCTGGACTCACCAACTTATAAATAGTGCCAAACACATCATCTGAGCCCCAGGGTTTGCACAAAGGTAAAACTTTTCACCCAACACCTTAGGAAACTTAGGTATTTCGCAAAAACACCTTTATGGGGATTCCCCAAAAGTGGACCTAAAATTCGGCATCAATTTACATTACAGCACTTAAGTAGTTCTACTAATTACTGTTCATAACTTGGTTAAAGAAATTATATTTGTATTATAGCAGCAATGCAATGATCATTAAACTGAAAAGTACAAAATGGTAGTTCAAGCATTAAATTTGCATTATAGAAGCCCTGTAAATGTGGGCCATAGGCCCACAGGTTTGCTAGTACCAAAATAATACTCATCTTCTCCAGTAAAATGTTGTGATTAGCAACTACAAGTATTTTTAATTTCTCAGTTCCAGAGCTAAAAATTATTCCATTGGCTATTCTAAAAGGACTTCTTTTTTTGTATGAAAAAAACATTGGTGTTGTGGAAAGAGAAGTGGATTTTCTATATATG